AGTTATTAAATGTTTAAACATCAAAACGAACTCAAAGGCACCAAGAAAATAATTGTCATATCATTTAAAACCTTTAAGATGTTGTGTTGTAATCTAAACATGAAAAATTATAGAGTAGATTGTCATATTCATAAACCAAAAGTAGACTAACAATGTCATTCTTAAAAGTCTATTGAATTTTTGCAACAAGTAACAACAATTTCTTATCACACTCTTATTCTTTGAATCAATCAAACAACAACATGTGACTCCTAAACTAGCCTTCTCCGTATCTTCAAAGACAGAAAGTACACATCACAGAAAAACCCAAAAACATAAGCAGAAGGGGGCAAAGAGGAGCTATGAAATCAATTCTCTTTTTTTCCTTGTAGCTCCAGAAGCATCCCTAGTCGAAAGCAGTTGAGGTGATAGCAATAATAAGCGGGGAAGCTGAAGCAAGAGGTCTAGTACTAGTAGGTGGTTACCTTCAAATACGTTAATTTCCTTTTTTTTAGACCTTCTTGGTCAACAAAAACCCTACCTTGCTCTTCAATTTCCTTGAGCAGCTAGCGAGCATCCCTGCTTTCTTTGAAGCGTGCATTGGTCAGAACTAGAAGCATAAGTTTCAAAAGCATAAATTTCAAAAGCATAATTTCCAAAAGTCTAGAAAAGTAAAAGCATAAGTTCCAAAAGTTTTCATTCTTCATGAGTAACCTTCAAGTCAAAGCTTGGGCAATCATGATCAATTTTCTTTCTCGCTGATTGTCGTGTCTTAGGAGGTGATATCTTTGCAGCTTTTTGTTTTTCCATAAACAACACCTTTGGTGTTGGTTTATACTATCTTTTTGGACGCACGACGTCAACCTTCTGCAATGACTTTAGATTTCATTTTTTCTTGTTTGAACCATTGTTTTCATCTGAAAATTTTTTTTTGATATATTAGTAGTATATCAAAAAATATATTAGAGGTAATATGTTTGAAATAATTGGTAGATACCATAGTTATGTCAGAAATAAATAAGTTTTATATCGTATGTATATCAAACATATATCACACATATATCAGGAGTATATCTATCAATCATTAGTATATCAGAAGTAAATCAATGGCATATTAGAAGTCAATCAGTTCTATATCAGCAATAGTAGTAGATATCATAGTTATATCAAACGTAAATCAGTTATATATTATATGTATATAACACATATATCACATATATATTAGGAGTATATCTGTCAATCATTAGTATATCAGAAGTAAATCAATAGTATATCAGAAGTTAATCAGTTCTATATCGTATCTATATCAAACATATCTCAGGAGTATATCTGCAAATCAGTAGTATATTATAAGTAAATCTATATTATATCAAAAGTCAATCAGTTTTATATCATATGTATATCAAACATATATCAAGATTATATCTATAAACCGACAGTATATCAGAAGTAAATCAATAGTATATCTTAGATCAATCATTTATATATCAGTTGTACAACAGTAATCAATAGTATATCAGAAGTTAATAAGTTATATATCAGTTGTATAACAATAAATCACTATTTTACCTGTTTTGACCATTTGTCGTGGAATTTTTTTTTATCGTTTCTCTGTGTTTTTCTGTAATAAAATCATTGATGAGTTTCAATAAGTGAATAACACGAATAAATGATTAATAAAACTAACTATTGTCCCACTATACTTATAGTTTCATCTTCATTAGCTTTTTTCTCTTCTTTGTCTTCTGCTCCTTGTTCTTCTTCCTCACTTGCTGCTTCTTCTTCTTTCCCATTGTCTTGTTCATTCTTCTAATAAGAAGCATTCTAGAGATGAGAAAAGTAAATTGATGTAAGAAAAGTAAAGCAATTTAGATTTACCTCTTTTTCTTTCCTTTTTTATCCTCTTTCTAATGAGTGGTTGCATATTCCACAATTTTATCAATATCTACTTCTTCGTAAAGAAGCTCAAAACTTATTGTTGGAGGTACGTTCTTCTGAAGTGATTCTTGGAATTGTTTTTCAATATTTGATTTTGGTGGAAATCTATCATTGATTACTTCCAATATAGAAGTCAACATCCCCAAAATTTGTTTATGACACTTCTCATTTATTGTATTTCCTCCTCCAAAGTCAAGCTTTTACTTGAAACATGTGTTTCTCTTCCTTCTTCTTCCTCAATATTTTTTTCTTCTACCATATCATCCATATTGTTGGATTCAACCTCTTGCACAATGTCTTCTGCTTCTTACATCATCAAATTTGTGAAGATGCCACTAGATATTTATATTTTGTGAGAAGAATTGTAATTATTGAGAACTGTATAATAAGTAAAAAAAATGTAGTAAATAAATAGAAACAATAACGAGAGAGAGAGAGAGAGAGAATGATAATAACTTACATCACTTGCAAAGAAAATATTTTCTTGTAGATGGTGCCGATCCGACTGTGCTAGGATATCCCATTTCTTGGAATTTGATGTCCATCATTTTTTGTTGCAATTCCAACCCTTGGATCAGAGAGTTTGGGAATTATTTCACACGCCCAACAAATCGATGCAAGTGGGAAGCCTTGCAATGTATAATTTGATTATCTTTTTCGCAAAGCTTTTTTGATGTGTTCAATTGTGAGATCATATACCAATCTGCCCCATGATATTTCGGAAACAACTTTTCACTATCGACAATGTCAACATGCTTCCATTCTACCTTAGTGTGAAGTTGTTTGCAAATAGTAAGCATTCTAAGATATACAAGTTAGGAATTTTCACTATTATATTATCATTTTAAGACCAAATACGAAAAGCTGCTTGTACATCTCTTCTATCTATTGTCTCTCTAAGCTTAAAAAATGTCTCCCTAAGCTCATGGGTATTTGTTTCTTTATCCATAATTATCTCATCAACAGTGGGGTATTCATCACAACAATTAAAACTTGTCATCAAACTAAACTCTTTCAATCCAAATCTTTTTAAACTTTCCACCAAAGTTGAATACTAATGCATCTGTTGGACTTTTGTCAGATATTCTCCTAATTAGATGCACTAGTAATTGTAGTGGACATCTATTAACACTAAATGACAAGAAGTGTCCAACGGGTCCCTTTTCAAATATTTCTTTTTGAGTTGGTGAAAGCATTTTCAAGATGTTGTCAATTGTTTCTAGTTTAGAGTATTGTTGTACTCTAACCCCAAAATACCATATTTCATTACCTGTTAAACAAAATATAATATATCAAAATATATCATAGGTATATCAACAAAATATATAAAAGATAAATCAGCAGCATATCAGATGTATATGAGATACTCATATCACTAGTATATCACATTCATATTCCAGATATATCAGTATATCATATCAATAGTATATCAGACGTATATCAAACATATATTGTATAGAAACTCACATTAGGTATGTTAGAATATCATATCAATAGTAATCATTATCATATCAATAATATATCGAGCGTATATCAGACATATATACTACATAGAAACTCACATCAAGTTTGTCAGAATATCATATCAGCAGTAATCATATCATATCAATAATATATCAGACGTATATCAGACATATATATTACATAGAAACTCACATCAAGTATATTAGAATATCATATCAATAGTAATTATATCATACATATATCGGACGTATATCATACATATATATTGCATAAAAAATCACATCATGAATATCATAATATATATACATTCTTCAAATTAGTAGTGTATCACATACCTCGCTCTTTTCTTCTTTGTTCTTCTCTTGTTTCTTCCCTTTAGAAGATTCACCCTTCAACATTACTCGTACTCTTTTTTTTAACCATTTTAGTTTATTTCTTGTCCATATATGTTTATCTTGCATTAAAACATAGAAACAAATGAAAAAATAGAACCAAACTCAAAAAATATAAAGTTTAAACAAAATTAATGGCATATATCGAATGCCCGGGGAAATCGTAATCAGTGCACTCCCAATAATAATATGGTAGTAGTTCATTCAAAAGTATAAAACTAAACTCAAAAAATATAAAGTTTAAACAACATGCCATATAAATTGTTAAAGGAAATCAATGACAAAATGAAGAAACAATGACAGATATTAAAGACGGGGGAAATCGTAATCAGTGCATGTTAATGAAATGGAGGAATGTAATGGTAGTAGTTCATTCAAAAGTTATCTCTAAAAGAAACTAAAAGCAAAAATGGAATGGAGGAATGTAAATCGATGCTGACGAATTACATAAATTGAAGCCCAACAAAATGAAGCCAAAATGAAGATACTTACATTTACCAAAGTTCAATGGGAGGTTACACTGAAACCGTCAAATGGAGGTTATACTGAAAACTGCAAATGGCGGGAAATCAAAACAAAGTGCGAAGATAAAATTGAACGATGTTTGGGTTGGAAATCAGAAGTGAATGGAAACTATGGAGGAAGCTCGAAGGTCGGATGGGAATCGAGTGATGGGGATGAAGTTCAAATCGACAGAAATCGAACCGATAGGGATTTTGAAAAACTAGGTTTTCTTTTTGGTTTGGGCTTTGCATGTTAATATTAGGATTACATGATAATTAAGACTTTTAACAATGTAGGCCTCTGATTTTGTAAAAAAATTGTTATATTTGAAAATTTTGAACGTGGGTGCTATTTTGTTAAATTTGTGTAATCTTTTTTACCATACTTGCAAGCAACCCTTATATTTTTATGAGAAATCAAAGATATTAATGCACAGATGTTTTAATCTTGGGGTGTAATAGAGTCTCTTGCATAGATCAATATATCGCTCAAAAACCAAGTGCATTTTTAATTTACAGGTACTACTACATATTAAAAATTTTGATAAAAAGTTTTCCAATAGAGACTATTTCATTACGTACAGAAATAAAATGTTTTTTTTAACATTTACTAATTCATTACAGAAAGAAGTTGCATATCAAAATAAGCCCAACTAAAAATGTGTTTTAACCAAATTTTTGGTTTAAAACTAATAACTGTACTAATTATCGTACAAACCATTTCTGACAAAAAGGAAATCTAACGACAACTAAACTTCATTTACTTGTTGCTAGTCATCTAAGCAAAGCCGTTTCTGAATAGTTAGAATAGTAAACATTCTATGAGACACGCCCCAACTTTATCCAGCACAGGCCTTCAGAATGTATAAATCATAGTTCGAGTATGGTCCGTGGGCCGTTTTCCTTCTCTACCATGACGAATCAATGGATTAAAATGCCTCAATCTAGGGCATTCAATCAGAGATACAATGTTACAATGATTGGAAAGAAGGGAGTTCATCCAATTCAAGCTCTTTCATCCCCTTCACCCCACATGAGACTCCAAAGTTTTTGAAACGTCGATGCTATGAAACTCAATCGACATCCATGGTCTGTTCGTCTTTATTATTAACAGACCAGAGCTTTATGGTCCGATCGTGTGAGACTGTTGCGATACCCTGCCCGTCTATCATCGAACAAAAACAATATTTGAATATCAGCAGAATATGACAACTTTTCGAATCCATAAGAATGTTTAGATAATAGAGAAGCAAATTCCAAAAAGTATTTTAACATCAGCATACAAAGGCCATATGCATATATAAACTTACTCAGAGCTAACTGTTAATGATGCATCGGTGACCATTCACCTTAAAACCAAAGAAAACTGACTGGACGCTTATATGATTGAGATAAAGCCAAGAGAATTCCACTCAGACACCCTCTAACATTCTACTGTTCTCCAAGAAAGTTTCGATGTGTCCTTCAAATTTCCTAAAGACTTTATTTTTCCTTAATTTGTTCTCCCGGGTGGCTTTTTTTTATATTTGATAACCGTGAGTGTTCAGACCAACTTGCACACACCTTGACTAATCTCACGAGATAACCATCAGACTTCTAATTCGGAATGAAAGGGTTCGCTTTGACCTACTACATTTGGTTGTCAAGATAACTCGTAGGATATTAAATCTTTAGGTAGGTGGCCACCATTGTTTGAACTCATTCCCTCTAAATCCTTCGCTATTTTCATTGGCCCGTATTGACCACTAGGTCATACCATGATGGTTATAATGGGTGGCCTATTCTTATAAACAATTGAAGTTAGTATTCAGTCAAAAATCACATAACATTGATGTGATAAAATATTTATATATATATAAAGGGCAGAAGAAAGCCAACACCATGCTAATGGATGTTACAAAAAAGCCCCCTAAATAGCTAAAAGATCATTTAAGCAATAATTTGCAAGAGTGCATTTACACCATGATAAAGCAAGAACATAAACAGAATCCAAAAAACTGTCGAAGTAGGCAAATTTATCGTTGAACATGTGGTTGTTACTTTTCAACCATAAAGTTCATAAGAAAAAGCTTGTAATATGGAGCCAAAATTCTCATAATATAGTTTATAATAAGCTTAACATTTACAAGCTACCCATTGACAACCTCAAAAACAATTTCTAAAAACAAATTTTCGGCTGTGTCAAACGGTTCTTAAAAGCTAACCAATTTGTCATGACTTGAAAGTATACATTCAAATTTTATTTTGTTTTCTACACCCAAAATGAACACCACAAGCAGTCTAACATCCAAACTTCCAAATTTTCTCTTCAAAAAGTTTGACCCTTTATATTTGTAATACAAGGTCAAAAACTACTAAAATCATTCAACTATTCTAGCAACTCTCTTTTCCCAACCCTGCCCAAAACTACGTAATTTCAATTGTTCTTGATCTCGTAGTCGTCAAGACTTTTCTCAGGAAGTAGCTGTTAATTTCTTAGACAAATTTAGACTTATATAAGATTAGTTCTTTTGGGTTCTTGAGACTTCAGTTCAGATTTTCTCAGGTTCTGCTCTGGAGACATGTGGCCCGGAAATTCCATCCAGGAGCAATGGGTTTTCTTAGATAGGTCTGCAGATTTTGCAGTCGGGAAATCCCAGCAATGCCCTATCTTGTAGAAGATTGCAGACTAGGCAAATGATATCGAACCCAACAGATTATCATCCCTAACACTTAGCATGTGCTTTCAAGCACATCAGTTCATCATACCAATAAATTATTGCCATTGAAAAATTAAAACATTTTTATAAAAAGCATATGGTGCTATGTAACTACTGTCTATGCCATCCATTCTTTGCAACAGAGCTACAAGAACCAGCTCCACAGTAGCAAAGTTGAAACTTCTAAAGACACTTTCCCATGGAAAATAATCTATCAGAAATTATAGCAAGAACTTCATGACTAAGCAAAGATATGAGTATAGCATAAGCAACAATTTCTATGATTTTACCTACCACTCCCCACACCCGTTAGATTATCTCCAGTGATTTAAGCATTAGAGCATAAGATGTTAGTGGTGTTTATCAACGCAAGTTCATGCTAAATAGAGGTAATTTGTGGAAAAAACCATAGAAGCCTAGAAGGATTCAAAAATTGTGAATGATAATGACCTAGGAATCAGTAAATAACCAACCTGCAATGATGTCCAAAGATGTAACTTTTGCTTCGTGTCCAGAGAGTGTCTTCACTGGCTTAAAATCTCGAGCCGACCAAATCTGGAAAAACAATTTAGTATATGATAGAAAATGAAACATTATACTAAAAGTGGGATGAAGCAACAATCAAATTGAAATGTCAAGACTTGAACGATATTACTCTCATGGTGACGGTGTTCAAGCAATTAGATTACCTTTGCTGTCATATCAAATGATGCAGTTACCAAGAAGTATCCCTCTTGAGGCTCATATTTCACTTGTGAAACAAGGTTCGAGTGTGCAGGTATTATGTATAGAGATTTTTTCTTCCTTAAGTCCCATATTCTACAAGTGTTATCTTCACCACCAGTAGCTAAATGATAACCATTGGGTGAAAAGCTGACTCCAAGAACCTGGAAAATCATAGACATAAGAAATCCATTGAAAAGCAAGGCATCAGTAAGGAGCAAACTAATCAGTATTATTAAAAATAAATGTTCTACCATCACAACGAAATAAAGGAAAGATATTTACTGGCTTGACATGGCCCTCCAACGCAAGAATACTTCTGCCAGTTCGAAGGTCCCAAATACGAGCAAGTGCATCAAGTCCACAAGATGATACTAAGGATCCATCATGGTGAAAGGCTATCCCATAGACACTCCTACTATGACCTTCTTGAAGAAGCAACTCTACACCAGTTTCCACGTCCCATAATCTCCAAGTCTTGTCAAAGCTAGTTGTGCCCAAGTACTTCCCAGATGGATGGAAGGCAATTCGGGCAAGGCGATCCAGATGACCCTCGAATGTTCTAAGGAGAGATCCTTCAGCAGACCACAACCTTGCAGTTCGGTCAGCAGAGGCAGTTGCTAAACACTCATTCACAGGAGAAAACATTACATCGGTAACACGCTCCGTGTGTCCCTTAAAGTTGGAAACCTTCCTTACTTGAGGCATGCTCCACAATTTTGCAACTCCACTTAATGAACTAAAGAAATTAAACAAGCAGAAAAATACTAAAATCATCACAAACAAAACCAGTAAAACTATGCACAAACTACAAAGCCTATCAAGTATTAGAGATGGAAAATGGTTAAACCTTCACTTATATGTATCTTTGGCATCTTGTTTCTCAACTGACAAATTATTTTTCCTTTTTCTTTTGTCTTCTTTTCCTTTTTTTTTCCCTTTTATTATCAGGAGGTTTGAGGGTCGATGATACTAACAAGGACAAACTGGTATCAGTAACTAAAAATCTTTAACCTGCAATGATTAGAAGGGTACCTAGTGGCAAGGAATTTTCCATCAGACGAGAAAGAACAACCAGAAAGTGGTCGATCATCTCCTATCTCACTGCAGTCAAGGACCAAACTTCCAGCCTGTCTCAGTGCCCAATCCATTTCTGCTTCCACATCTTCATCTGGGTCATCCCTTTTCCTCTTTGCACGCTCAAGACGCGAAGCTGCTCTCACAATTGAATACTTTGCAATATCAAGTCTGGTATTCAAGAGAGCTTTGGACCCCTCAGTATAAAAGGGATACTGAAGCACCTCCTCCTCAGCATCCTCAGTTCCAGCAGTAGCTGCAGCCTCCTCTTCCTCATGAGCTTTCAGCAGCTTCTCTAATTGCCCTTCAGCATCCAATCTCGCCATTATTGACCGCAACCTGTCCCGTCTTTCCATTTCTCTTTCCCCGAAAAGAGTTATGGGTTCACCAAGACGACGAAGACGAGCCCGAACGGCCATGTCATTAGTAGGCACTGCTAGAGCAGAAGCACGACGCTTCATAAGAAATTCCTGCATCGCCTTTTCCTGACGCTCCCTCACCTGTCTGCTCTCTTCCGACACTTCATAATCTGCAGCTGAACCTGGAGCTGCTCGCGAAGGGGCTAAATCATCATGTTCCGAGTCTGAGTCACTTGTTCTCAACTCACCATTTTGTGCTACAGGGGGTCTGAAGAGGGGAGGTCGGCTTGGCAGAGGAGCCAATGGACGGATAACTGGAGGAGGAGGAATGGGAGCAATGGCAGGCACAATTGGAGGTGGAATAACTGATGAAGCTGCAGGTTGGATCGGTTCTGATGGGCTGTCAAGGTCCACCACATTTTCACCATCTGGAAGAGTTTCGGGAGATTCTGCAGAAGTTGATGCAGGGTTTTGATCATCAACTTCCATGATAGCTCGCGAATGAAACTTCAAAACAGAAATATGCTTATCCAAGAAATTGAGCTCTCTTAACTCAAAGCGTTGGCACCAGCAACAATCTCCAATATCTCGTCGCCGCCGCCGCCGCCCGCTGCCGAGAGAGAAAGACGCGTCTGGTTTGCCGCCGGCCACCTGCTGCCGAGAGAGGACTCTTAACCCTCAGAGAAGGGCGCACGTACGGGGTAGGGTTTTGTTTTCCTCTAATCCACGGTTTTGTTGGGTTAAAACCGAGAACCGAAACCGGTTCGGTTAGCGTCCGTTGCCTTTCAGTTTTCACCCGCTTGCTTTTACAAATCAGTGCCTCCGTCCGACGTTCGAACCACTGAGCTTGCAAAATTTGGTTTTTTTTTTTAATATTTTCACAATAAAATAATATTAAAAAATTTTGAAGTTTTATTTTTTCATTTAAAGTAAGTAATTTAGATTTCTTACATCTGTAACTATGTCTTCTATAATAAATTCATTCTTTTTCTTTTTTTGAAACATTAATGAATTCAAATTCACCTTATGTATGATTTTAAATGTTGTTATTGATGAAAATATCGAAGCCTCAATTTCATAGAAATGTCGATGATAATATCAACAAAATGTCGATATATATTGATAGATATTTTTTTAAAAAAATTATAAAAATAAAAAAATTCGTATATATAAATTGACAAATAAAATTTCACAATTTTTAGATAAGTTAAAAATATTAATATAATATTTTATCTATATTAGTAATATTTTGTTGATATTTTTTTATATTTTGTCAATTTTTTGTAATACTATAGAAACCTCGCTTTACCCCTTGTGTCATGTTGAACCGCTGAATATATGGAAATGTCGATGGACATGTTGACGAATATTTAATACCATGCCTTTGATAAAAATACAAAACAATAATAAATATATAATATTATAGTTTTTGTTTTGTTTTGTTTTCTTCTTTCAATTATTTATATCAAATTGTCCCGTGAGATTAGTCGATGTGTGCGTAAGCTGGCTCAGAGGATAAAAAAACTATTTATATCAAAACAAATTTATTTTATTAAAAAACTTTAACAAAATATTTCAAGTTTTATTATCTTTTTCTATTTATCATATTTTATTTTGAACAAACTAACACCAAGTTAGGTATATATAAAATCATAATTTTTTAGTATTTGTTTAAAAAGAATTTTAACCAGGGCGGTAACTAACCAAGACGGCAGGCTTTGCAGTTTTGTCACGAGGAGTCACACCTTTTGCCTATACAATTTGTCGAGAAAAGTGTAGAGATACTCCAAAGGATGCTTCGGCAATGGGATGCATGGCAACAACTTTAGGAGTTGTAAGCTGTTTTGTAAGTCCATAGTTATTCATCCCTAATCTTGGAAGAGTATCCAGTTAGAAATTCTTGAAAGATGAATTACTCGAAGAAAATTGGACAACGTCATCAAACTGCTTTTCCATGATAAAGTGGAAGATGCTTCATATAATGCAGATCCATCTTTATATGCTTTTGTAAAGTTGTTTGTTCGTTTGAAATTATGAGTGTTTACTTTTTCGCTTTTATTTTGAATGCTTTCATTGATGATAAGATTCGTCAGAGACTGTCTTATTGGTCACATCTTATCTTTACTTTTTAAAAATAAATTCCAAAGAGATAAGGTTGAGAGTCAGGGTTCTGTCCTATCGGCCTCAATCTTATCCCTATCTGCCCTTATGTATTCAATCATTGTCTTGGCTAGAGACTTAATTTCTTACCATCTAATGAATTATGACTTCCAAAGACGTTATCCTCTACCTTAGCTTGCCGCTTTAATTGCTACACAAAACTTTAACTATCTTGTTTCTATGAAGGTGTTGATTATGATGAAACATTTTGCCGTATTGTTAAGAATCTAAAAAAGCTGAGTGAGGAGGTAGCAGTAGCCCAAAGGTATCATTGGACTCTTCCTCTCCTAATCTTGATTCTAAGCTTTTGAATTCTCTATATGGTTTGGAAACAAAGCTCTTTTAGTTGAAGTGTTAGAGCAAATATATTTCCGTCTACTGCTCAATAATTTGCTTGCTGATATTTTCATGAAGTCTCTTACTTGTGATCGTTTTTGGATCTTGCGGTCCAAACTCACGCCTTGATGTGACTTTCATTTGCGGGAGGATATTATCTGATGTATAGGTTTAGCTAGTTTGTTAAGCATTGCGTTAAACTCTATTAGTCTTTAAATACTTCGTTAATGTCACAATACTATTGATTGGAGAATAAAATAGCTCTTTCCCGTCTCCCGAGCGTAAGCCGTCTTGTTTAGTTTATCGTCCTATAAATCAGGCTAAGTAAAAATTTCAATTGAATTTAGAAACCACCGTTGACATCGACGGTAAAAGAACATTGGTTTGGTTGTTCATATCAATTATTTTCACAACCCACGACCTCCGACAGATGCAGCAACCAATGGAAAAAGAACCAATATTCCCAGTTTGGGCGGGGAAACAGGAAAATGGAAAAATAACTGTCTACGTTATGTGAAGCCTTATTACCCTCCAGTAAATCCAAGGAGGTCACATATTTTCTAAGGCTTAAGAGCCAAGGCCAGACCGATCTTCGCACTCTTTTCGATAGCCCTGGTGTCCACTTCTCCTGAAATGGTGAACAAGGATTTCGGACGCCATTCGTGCTGAATTAGAGCACTTGCCCTGCCATAGTTGTTCACCCGAGCCTTCACCGAAGTCAGGGGGTCAAGAGCATGCTGTGTGCCTATTGTGAGAGTATTCTCGTTGCTCGAAAAGCTGTGAGACAGCTCCGCACCAACGGCTGTGTTGCTCAATGGGCTCACTAGGTGGTAGTAGGAAGCAGTAAGAGCATCGCCTTTGTCGTTCCTGCAATCGTCAAACACAAAATGCCCATCATATGCATGCTCTTGGTCATGACAAAAATGCCACAGGTTCAAATTGAGTTTTTTTTTCACATGGAAAGTTGTTTAACAAAGATTCTTACAAAGGGAGTTTGTTTGAAATAGCTCCTCCAAAATTTAGAGCAAATCATCTTTCCAAGAGAGCATAAATCCTATCTTAGACAATTTATCCAAAACCAACTCTCCTTTCTTGAAAAATATCTCTAAGAATAGATCTATTCTGATGGATAGGGTAAAAGTGATTTTTGTCAATTATTTTGAAAGTACATTCTGTTCAGAATGCATATTAAAAATAACAAAAATCCAAGTTCTATTGGGACTTGGGAAGAAATTCAAGAGTACCAAAACAAAACAGAAGTAAAATAAAAGAGCTTGATTTCTTACAAGGTAAGAGCAGCAATGAGATCAGAATGAGTGTAACTCAAGCCTGCATTCAACTTGGTAATGTTTCCTGAAGCAGTGTCGAACGACAAATCTGTGCCAAGTGACAGTTTATCATTTCCAACAACGCCGGAGAAATTGACAATGGGGCTGGCCGTCAGACCAATGCCAGTGCTTATTCCAGCATATTCATGTTGATATTGGAGATCAACCTGAACAGTGATCATAAATCAGATACCAGAGTGTTATTATGTGTCCGCAGAAGGTAATTTTGAGTTAATACATTAGCAGACTATGAAATCTTTTGTCCTAATTACATATTCGAAAAGTAACTTTGTTACTACCTTGCCAGATCTCTGATCAGGAACACGAAAGCTAAAAATTGTCTTCAATCCAGGAGCAGGTTCATCAATAGTAACAGTAGTGTGAACCTACAGCTCAAGCATATCAGTCAGCAAAATAATTAACGAAACTTATTGATTTGTAATATTAACTGATTATACAATTAAAACAATCTTTTAGCTTTAAGGCTTCACATCAACAATTGCACAGGCATGGTACATGCAAGCTGGTTTTCCTAAACACAATCCAAAGGAAACTTGTCTCAATTAGTCAAGTTCATCTTTCTTTTCCCCAAAATAATTCATGTCAAATTCCAAAGAGCTTAAACTCAACAACTATTTTAGATGTTAAACACTTCTGAGCACTTCATTACACAAACTCATTAAATGAAACTGTATTTTCATTATGTATGGAAATCTTCTGAAGCAATTAGAACTTACATTGGAGTTGGTGTCAACTTTTATATCAGTTGTGATGTTGTTGTTCTTCAGCTGAGTGCTAACATCTGCCAAAAATAGCTCACCTTTCTTAACTCCAGTTGAGCTGATAGCCTAATAAGCGAAACAAAGAGAAAGTTTTAGTAATAACAGAAGAGAAATACAAAGATGAAAGAAGCGCCATGGACTGCATCATCTAATGGTCATAAAATCAAATGTTAATCTCACAACAAATGCATAAAAAATATGGTCATGAATTAAGTGTTTTGCAAGACATTGTTTAGACAAATGAGGGTTTTCTAAACATATCCTTTTCTAAATTGCTCTCTACAGTGAGGATGCTAGGAGCTTTTCTTTAAGAGTGCTTGCTCAAAACATTGCAGTAGTGCCACTTATTTAACGTAATCCAGCATCACGACGAATATACCTAATTTGACATTGATACCATTTAACACAACGAAAAACATAACGCACATTGTTAAATCATTCAACACACTTCACACAGATTCCAAGAATCCTGTAGCACTCAACTCCTTCGTTTTAGAACTCAGAAAAACGAGAGATTAAAAACGAAAACAAGATCAACATCCGACAGAAATAAATTTCTTGAAGCCTCAAAACAAAGATTAGTCCCTCTCGACCTACCAACCAAGATACAAGTATTAAATACATAAAAAGAAGCGAGGTCGGTCGGTTTTCCATTGCGACGGTTTCTCAAGAACCAAACAGAAGCAATACACAAAAACAATACAGAATCCGATAGTGAAAAATCTAAAAGATAGAAACTCAGAGACTCACAACTCCGCCGGAAGTGTAAGTAGTGACGGTGAATTTGTGGTCGCTCTGGTAATCCTTGTAGAGAAGATCTGTGGAAGAAGAAACAATCTCAGAAGAAAAAACTAGATGAAGAAGAACATAGAGAAAAGGAAGAAGAAGAAGAGGAAATCAAAGAACCTCTGGCTTTCTTGCCGATGTCGGAGTAGAGACCAGGGCCCTTCCCCATGATCTGAGCTTGTGGCGTTGGAGAAGAGGAGAGGAGAGGAGCTTGGCGGAGAGCGGCGGAGGGAGGAGAAATGAGAAAATCGTGGTGCAGGCTGGACCTGAAATAAAAATAAAAAAAATAAAAAAATAAAAACCAAGGCCGAAGGAAGAAAAACAGAAACTTCATTCAGACCGTTGGATCTCGCATTGAAGATTGTGGCCGTTGATTTGCGACTGAGGAGATCACGGCTCTTATGAGGCCTCGAGAATCGGAACATCGGGCACGCATATTCGTCGTTCGACACCCTTCTGGTTTCCATTTCAAATTCTAACCTAATATTTGAGGAATTATTGCAATGTTAAAAGCTAAATTAATTCTATTTAAAAACTATTAATTAAGGGAAAGAGAGAAAATTATGATAATACAATTAATTTTGGCACATTAAATAATTTTTCAGTTAATTTATTTAGGCCCTATATATAATCACTTTGTTTTTTATTTTGACAAATTATATTGTTTTTAGTTTGGTTTTTTTTTCCTTCTTTTTTTTTGACAAATTTTTCGATTTTGGCTTATAAATTATACTTTCGTGATGTATGTCTTTGTTTTTTTTGGAACAACATGGATGCGTACGTGTTAAAAATATTTTCAAAATTCAAGAACTGAGTTTTTTTTAATTAATAATATTTTTTAAAAATTTTCAAAATTCAAGACCTAAGTTTTTTTTAAATTAATAATATTTTTAAAAAATTCATTTTTGTTTCTAAAATTTGGATGATAATTCAAATGTGTTTTTAAAAAAATCTAAAAAAACACACTAAAAGAAATTAATAGAAAATAAACATTAATTTTTAAAACATAAAACAAAAAATGAGAGGTATGCGTTATTTGTTTTTGGAAAGACTAGTAAGAAATACGGCACGTGGAACTCGAAAGTTTTATTTTTAAGTACAAAAGAATTAATTAAAAAAAGTGATAAATTATAACGTAACCTAATTTTATAAAATTGAAGATGTTGGTTTCAGCATTTTATTATTATTATATGAATATTTTAGGTATTCGTACTATATTATATTAATTTTAATTAATACAAAATATTGATTTAAACATATTTTCTATTCATTTATTTATGGTACCTTTTACGATTCCTAATTATTTAT